GTTGAGAACTGCTGCTCTAGCAGGAAGCTAAGGCAAGATGATCAAGAGTTCAAGGCCAACCTGTCCATAGAGTGAGACCCCAGCTAAGGAAAATAAAGCCAAAGAAACAATAAACAAACAAACAAACAAAGAACAACAACAACAAAACATCTTCCCCAGCTGTCCCAGCTTCAGCCAGCAGAGGAAACCTTTGCTCTGAGTTAAAGTCTCCAGTCCTGCAGCCTGGGATACTCCTGCCTTTTGACACCCACTAGCCTCTGCTAGACCAGTTGCCCGTGCTGCCTTGTGCGAGCCAGCTTGAGGGAAAGAGGCAAGGAGGGGTAAGGAGGATGACTGGGGCAGCTGGACAACAGCCATCCCCACTCGTCCCTGGCACGGCTTTGCCCAGCACACAAAGGGCAGAGTGAATCTTGTCCTGGATTGTACAGCTGAGGGGCTGGGAGCAGGCAAAGGATAGTGGCCACTGTGAGGTTTTCCACGGCCCAGGGTTGTCACAGAGGGCAACCCAGAGACAAGGGGGAGGAGTTTGGATCCTAGGCTTAGCTAGTGAGAGGTGTCCTGAGGATGAAGTAGATGACAGTGATGACGATTGGTCTTTCATTTCCATGAAGTCATCCGAGGGTCAAAATGGCTTTGTGAGGCAGGGAAGTCAGGGGCAGGAGGCCCATTTCAGAGATGAACACAGCAAAGTCTAGAAAAGTAGGACTTCCTGGGATTCCAGAGCTTCCAGGGGGAACACAGATCTCATGTATCAAAGGAAGGAACTAGGGACTTGCAGAAGAAGACTCCTTGTGTTTGGTTGTCTCTGATCACATATAGGCTGTGTACATGTATACATGTGTACATGTGTACATGCTCCTTGCTGTGACAGGTTCACAGCAGTGCAAAGAAAACTCGTTCAACATATTCCTTTCCTTCTGTTTGGGAAGCTAGGCTGACAACCCTCTTCCTGTCTCTCATAGCAGATCCCAGTTAACACTGTGTGTGCTAAATGACAGGCAAACAATGAGGGTCCGTGAAAGGACTGCAGAGTCTGGGGCTAAGGGACAGGTCACAGAGCATGTGCCATTGACTCTTGGCCTTCCAGGGTGAGTACATTCACAGTCAGGACTAGCTTCAGTGAGAGCAAGTAAAGAAGGCTATACCATAGGGCCGGTCTGGGGACAAGGTTGCAGTCTATGTCCAAGCTGAAGGGGCAGCTTCCCTCCTTCCCTGCTCCTTCTTTTCCCCTCTTCCTTCTCCAAGGAACCCAAGACCCCTACCAGATGTTGAGAAACATCTGAAATTCACTCAGGGAACCTTGACAGCAGTTTCTCTCAGACCCCCTAAAAACAAGTTGCTGCTGTTCTTTTAAAAGTCTTGATGCTGTGAGAACCCAACTTAAGGGCAGCCCGAGGACCCGAGAGAGAAAATAAGTGCCCTTCCCACACTTAGCGATGATGGCAAACCCCAGCTGTTGCCCCTGTTCAGAATAAGTACCATAACTGGACACTGCGGCCCCCTGAGATGCCCACAGGGACCCCGAGATGCCCGCAGTTCTTCTTGGCTCTCCTGCTGGCCTGCTGCCCACCTGGCTCAGACCCAATGTGTGTGAGTCAGCCATCAATCACAAGGTTTCCAGGACAACCCAGGGAGCCTGGGGGATGGTCAGAGGGGTGGGCAGTGCAAGCAGGCTGTCTTTTACATCTGTCACCTGCACACAACCAAGGGGAGAGGACATTGGCTCCCCTCTCCTTTCCTTCCCTCTGCCCTCCCCTTCTTCCATTGACTCTAAGACACTTTGCTGAGCTGTGGGAGGCTTAGGCAAATATTTAAGGGGGCAGTTAGAGGGCCAAGGAGGACAGTGGGAGCAAACATTTCCTTCCTTCTCCCCTCCACTAAGTGTCTCAGGAGCTCTCATCTCAGATGCTGTACAGCCTCAATACTGAGGCCCTCGAGCTGGAGAGGGGATCCTTGGGGGACAGGGGAGGCTGCCAGGGCTGGAAAGGAGGCCAGCTCATGATCAAAGGGAAAGGACAAGGTGCTAGGAAGCTTGAGTGACATGGCTAGGAAGCTGGGTGACATTTCAAAGTTCAAGTAGAGCTGGCTCTCTGTGCCTAGGTTGGCATTCACCCTTTCAACAGTAGATGGAGCAGAGCATGGAGACGCATGCCTATAATCTTGCACTCAGGAGGCTAAGTCAAGAGGATTGCCACCAGTTCGAGTCCAACCTAGGGGAGGGGAATGAGGTTGTCTCAAAATAAAAACAAGGGACTGACCGGGCGGTGGTGGCGCACGCCTTTGATCCCAGCACTTGGAAGGCAGAGGCAGGTGGATTTCTGAGTTCGAGAGTTCGAGGCTAGCCTGGTCTACAGAGTGAATTCCAGGACAGCCAGGGCTACACAGAGAAACCCTGTCTCGAAAAAACCAAAACCAAACCAAAACAAAAAAAACCAAAAACAAACCAAACAAACAAACAAAAAAACAAACAACAACAACAACAACAAAAAACCAAAAAAACAAGGGACTGGAGAAATGGCTCAGAGGTCAACACCATGTGCTGCTCTTGCAGAGGGCCAGAGTTCAATTTCCCAGTTCAACAGTTGAACTCCATCTCCAGGGGATCTGGCTCATTCTATGGCCTCCATGGGCAGAGCATGTACATGGTGCACAGATACTCATGCAGGCAAAAGATAAACCCCAAAAACAAATTTTTTGAAAGTTTTAAAAATTTTAAAATTTAAAAAAAATTTTTTTTGATATTGTATGTGTGTTTTCAGGGAAAACCAATGGGTGTGTTCTTCCCTGGGGAGGGCCACCTTTCCCACCCCACCCCCCCCAGCTTTCCTCAGTTGCCCATAGCTCTTTGTGTAGGACTTAGGCCTTGTGGGCTTTTCCTCATCCAGTTTGACACATTTGTTGGTGGTGTCCTTGTCTCTCTTCTGGGCAGTCAGGTTGGTGAGACTGTGTGTGAAGCTTCTGATATCAGTAGGAGACACAGCCTCACAGCACATTCCCCGATTTTGATTCCCTGGCTCTTACAGTCTTTCTGTCTCCTGTTCTGCAATGTTCCAGGAGCCTTGGCTGTGAAGTGTTTTGTAGATGTATTCACTGGGACTGGACTCCATAACTCTGCATTTTGATTGGTTGTGGTTTTCTGTAGCGGTCTCTGTCTGTTGCAAAGACAAGTTTCCTTGATGAGGAGTGAGGACTATACTTCTCCGTGGGTCTAAGGACAGATGTTTATAGACTATTCTTAGGGATTACGCTGGTTTAGTGGTTGTAGATTTTCCTCCAATAAGCATCACTAGTACTGAATAGCTAGCTAGGTTTCCAGTACCAGCTATGAATTCCCTCTTGTGGAGGGAGTCTTAAGTCAAATTAGAGAGTTGTTGGCTACTCAAAAGCAGTTTTTAAAGCATGTGTGAGAATATGCATCTATATGTAACTTCTTTAGGCAATTCTGTATAAGGGACTTGCACACCCATGGATTTGGCGTGTCTATAAGGAGTCCCGGAAACACCCTGGGAGACAACCTGACATCTGTGTGGGAGAACAGGGTGTCAGGTCAATACAGGGAAGTACTGGACTCTGCCTTACACATTCATAAAAGTTCAGAGGTGCAAAGAGTTTTTTTCAAGATCATCTTGCCAACAACTGAAAAGGAATCGGAGGGCGGGGAAGATGGCTCAGTGGTTAAGAGCACTGGCTACTCTGCCAGAGGACCCAGGTTTGACACCTAGCACCCACATGGAAGTTTGAAACTGTCTGTAACTCCAGTTCCAGAGGATCTGATGTCCTTTCCTGACCTCCAAGGGCACCAGGCATTCAGGTGATGCAAACATGCAGGCAAAACACTCATCCACATAAAATAAAAATAAGTCTTTAAAAGGAAATTGGAGGCATGTATCCAACTCCAAGTTCAAAGGATGCAGGCAATCCTAAGTCAGTGGCAGATGTGACTTAGTACCCAAAGCACAGAAGAGGATTTGGGGAAAGAGAGAAAACAGGGACAGGGAGAAGGAGAAGAAGGAGGTGGTGAAAGTCGAAGGGTTTGGTTAAATCACATTGGGCTTGTTTAGAAGTTATTATAGAAAGGAGGACAGAAGCGTAGACAGGGCAGTAGAGGGGCAGAGATGACTGGGACCACACCCAGTCCTGTGCAAGGTCATCTTGGCTTAAGAAAATGTCAGGGGCTGGGGATGTGACTCCACTGTAGAGGACTTTCCAAGCATGCTCATGACCCTAAGTCTGCTCCTCAGCACCAGAAGGTGAAGGGTAAGGTTGGGATAAGCCATCAGAGCATTCAACATATAGACAAGCCCAGGGCAAAGAACAAAACAGCACTCATCACCCATGAGTAAGAATTTCCCATCAGTGGGGACAGAGTTTCCAGAATTAGGAAGACAGGAGCAAGTCCGAGGTTAGGGATGGCAGGTGTGGGAGGAGGTTGGGTAAAGAAGAATCTGAGCCTAAGAAACCACACTAACGGATCCCAGGTGCTGTCCCAGGCCCTGTTCCTCCAGCAGCCACCTCTCCAGCCCCATCAACAAGCGCCACTTTCTCAGTCCCTGAATGGAACTCATGCCTGAGCCTGGTGAGGTTATCTTGTGGAAAGGGATGGCCAGATTCTTGGCTGCCACCAGAACAGTTTGGCCTGTGAGAAGACAAGAAGCCACAGGGCACAGGGGCAGGTGCCAGCAAGAGAGGCAGACATGCCAGAAAGACACCCACGGTGAGAGGAGCAGGTGGCCCGAGGGTGAGTTTGCTTACCTCACCCAGGTTTGCTCTTGTTGGGGCCAAGAGGATTCATGTGCCTAGGCCAAGGGCCCTTGGGGGCTCTTGCAGCTGGCTTATCGGGGCCTAGGCTCTGAAAAGCCAGGAACAAACAAGCTTCAAAGCCAAGGACTTGGCTGGCAGACAGGAGGCTCAGTCCTTCACCTCTGTCCCCTCTCTCTCTCTGATGATATATATAAGACACTGGTCACATCAGAGATGAGGAGAGGAGAGAGAGAGACCTTACAAAATGGACATGGGTAGCAAGGAGGTCCTGATGGAGAGCCCACCGGTGAGTGTGATTGTGTGTATACATGTGTACGTGTGTGTGTGTGTGTGTGTGTGTGTGTGTGTGTGCGTGTGTACATACATAGTATACTGAACTTGCCTGTCCATCCTCCATTAGGCTTTTTCCTTTTTCTAGACTCGTGTACTCAACTAGCTTAGAATTGGGCTGCTAGGATAGAGATACCGTGATCACTAAGAGTCTCTGGCAGAGGCAGACATGACAGCCATGAATTCCTGTGTAAAGGGGTAGAGAGCCACAGAGGGGTCAATAGAAAGGCCTGTGAAGAGCACTGATAGAGCCACCAAGTAGTTGGGAGGTTATGGGAAGCATCACAGAGCAAAGGGCAATGAGGCTGGGGTGTAGGTCAGTGGGTAGCATGCCTTGCAAGCATGGAGACCTGAGTTCGGTCCCCACTACCACATAATCCAGGCATGGAGGTACACACCGTTTGGAAGTCTAAGCAATATAATCATTCAGGGCCATCCTTAGGTATATAAGGAGCTGAAAGGTAGCCTGGGTCAAAGATATGGTTAAAAAAAAAAAAGGATGACTCAGTAGGTAGTGGTGCTTGCCACCAAATGTGGCGGCTTGAGTTTAATCTCTGGAATTCACATGATGAAAGGAAATGAAAGTTGTCTCTGAGTTACACACATACACATACATGCACACTCACACATACCACACACACGTACACACAAATGCACACTCACCACACATACACGCACACACAAACACATACATGTACCTTCACACACACATGGACTGAACTGGGAAGGAACAAAGGGAATCTGTATAAAGGCATGGAGATGGTGATACCTGGATCCTTTCAAGGAACAAAACCTATTACTACATCTGGGGTGTCAGGCGTCTTGGGAAAACAGAACATGAGATTGGTAACTGGCACCGGGCAGTGGTGGCTCACGCCTTTAGTCCCAGCACTTGGGAGGCAGAGGCAGGCAGATTTCTGAGTTCGAGGCCAGCCTGGTCTACAGAGTGAGTTCCAGGACAGCCAGGACTACACAGAGAAACCCTGTCTCGAAAAACCGAAAGAGGGGGTCAGGGGGAGATTGGTAACTGTCTCTCTTGAATTATTCAAAACATAGACTTTGCTTCTAACTTTCTAGGTTTTGTTCGAGTTCAGCCACCTTCCCCAAAGTCTTTCTTCCCAAAGCCTTCTCTGATCTCCCCAGCCCTTCCTGGCACACTCATAGCCTGAAGGGGTATAGGAGAGTGTCCTCCTTGTACAGGGAAAGGAAGAGTCATCCTCCCAACTACCCACTTGTCTCTCTGCTTTCCTTGCTCTCTCAGGATTACTCAGCAGGCCCCAGGAGCCAGTTCCGCATCCCCTGCTGCCCCGTGCATCTCAAACGCCTTCTCATTGTGGTTGTGGTGGTGGTCCTTGTTGTCGTCGTGATTGTAGGGGCCCTGCTCATGGGCCTTCACATGAGTCAGAAACATACTGAGATGGTAAGCAGGCCTGGGTTGAGCAGAAGGGAACATGGGACAGAGGGGTGGGGGAGACAGGAAGATGGGCAGCTGTCCTAGAGGAAGAGAAGGGAAGGAAGAGAAGGGAGAGGAAGAGAAGGGACAAGCAAAAGCATATCTTGGGTGACATCAGCAGAGATGAGGCAGCCGTCCAGCGTAGATTCTCTCCCAGGCCCTGGCCTAGTGTGATAATCACCAGTCTCTCCAACACCTGTTATGTGTAGCCTTCCTGAGATCTCAGGAAAGAAGGAATTGCATTTGAATAGAGGATCTGAGTAGATATGGGTACCAAAAGGCTGAGAGAAGAAAGAGAAATGCCAGGTAGCATTCTGACACCCTTCCCCTAGGTCCTTGAGATGAGCATTGGATCACCGGAAACTCAGAAACGCGTAGCCTCGCGTGAGCACATGGACACCGTCGCTACCTTCTCTGTGGGCTCCACTGGGACCGTTGTGTATGACTACCAGCGGGTGAGGACGCCTGAGGGACCAGGACTTTTCTGGAATTTCCCAGTTGTAGCATTTCCAGAGGTCTCTTGCCATTCTGTGCCTGTCTGCCCCACAGATGCTTGAATCACTGACCCAAGTGTGTCCCCCATGGACAATCTAAAGAGTTAGTTGGCTGAGAACCGGGGTTGGGGGTGTAAGGAGGACAAGGGGACCTTGTGAATGACCTCCAGTGTTACGTGCCTAGCTCCTGACTGCCTATAAGCCAGCTCCAGGAACCTATTGCTACATCATGAAGATGACTCCAGAGAGCATCCCCAGTCTTGAGGCTTTCGCTAGAAAATTCCAGAACTTCCAGGTGGGTGTGTGAGCAAAGGGAGAGAGCTGTCTCCCTCCAAGGGTTGAGTAGAGGAACATTTGAAAGGATGACTAGTGCACCCTGTGTAGTATTGACTCTCCTGCACCAGATGTGTTCTTCTCTCTCCATGGACCTGTGTCCCACCTTCCCTACCAGCTCTCAGGTGGCCTGCTAAGTTGCTGGCCTCAGCTGAGCTTGGACATCACCTATGGGCTTCTGTTTCCAGCCCAGTCCCTCTCCGAATTAGAGAGGAAACTGACCCTCAAGAATTTGCCTTACCAGCTTAGTGTCCCACACTAATGCAGGTGACATTGAAAGTAGGTGCTCTTTCCAGGACAAGCCCTCCACACACACCTCTAAGCTGGGCCAGGAAGAAGGGCAAGATGCTGGTTCCGATTCTTCCGGGAGAGACCTGGCTTTCCTAGGCCTTGCTGTGAGCACCTTGTGTGGAGAACTACCATTGTACTATATCTAGCACCCCTCCGGTGAGCAACAGTACCTTTCAGGGTACCTGAGCAGCAACACTGGGAGGGCTTGGGCTGCCTGCTTTGTCAGGGGACCTACTAGGGATCTCTTGAAGTCAGTGGTCTGGGGAGCTCTGGAGCTCGGAGGATGGAAGGCTCCCAGACACATCCTACATTGGACCCAAGCGGGAGGCTTCTTCAGCCCCCCTCCCTCACATGATAAACATCAGTTCTTTGCTTCACAGAGTCGGTAGAAACCGCAGGGGGACAGGAAAGACCCTCCGCAAAGGGTCTTTGGCAGACAAGCAGGAAGCTGCTCCTGCCCAGAAGAAGGTGGAAGTCTGTAGAGGAAAGGTGTCTCCCCTGGGCCAGGGGATCCTACCACAAAAGAATAAAGCAGCACGATTGAAAAAAACAAAGAGTGGCGCTTCTTTTCTTCCACATTTTCTCACCTCAGCTTCTAGCAGGAGCTGTCCTGGGAAGAAGAGGGTTTGGAGAGTTGGGACGTTTTGCCACGTCCTTTCTAAAAACGATGGGGGTTTGGTCCTATCCCAGGTAGTGTGGAACAGAGCAAAAGGCGGGGACGGAGGACGGGACCTGGGTGCCATACACGGGTGTTAGGCGCCCTCCAGCGGTGTGTCCACAGGGAAGGACAGCGACAGAGACAGGCAGGGAGACAGCTAGACAGAGAGACAGCGAGAAGCGAGAGAGCCGAGGTCTAAGACAGACAGACTCTGGAGTCTCTGGCTGAGAGAACCATCACTGATCCAGGGTCTTAGAGGAAGGAACCGACCTGACAGCGTGTCCCGTGCCCGGAGGCACTTCGCCCGGTGCAGGACAGCGGCCTCTAGGGGGCCCTTCGCGGAGCGGTGCCTCCGGGCATCCCGGGCCCGCGCCCCCTCCCCGGCCCCGGCCCCAGCCCCAGGCAGCGGATCTCCCTCCGGGGCGGGCGGTGCTACTCTCGTCCTCCCCGCCCGGCTGGCGTGCTTCCCGGTCCGGCCGAGCACGGTCCCGGCCCCGAGGGGGGCTGAGCTGGGCGAAAACCCGCCCTCCAGCGAGCTCATTTCCCTAAAAGGGGGGGGTGAGGTGGGGAGTGGGAGGGCGGCGAGAAAAGAAAGAGAGCGACCGAGAAGAGGGCGAGGGGACGCCGGAGCCCAGAGCCGGAGCGAGCCGGGCCGAGCGGGGGGCGGGAGACAGGAAACGGGACGGGAAGAGGTGGCCTCGGGGGGAGAGCGCCTCCCCTTCGCCTTCAGCGCTCCCTTCCCCGTCGCCCCGCTCCCGCGTCCGGGAGCGACCGCCACCGCCGCCCGCCAGCATGCCCGGCGTGGCCCGCCCGCCGCTGCCGCTGCTGTCGCTGCCGCTGCTACTGCTGCTGCTGCTGCTCCCGCGCGCCGGCCGGCCGCTGGACTTGGCCGACTACACCTACGACCTGGGCGAGGAGGACGCCCCGGAGCTCCTCAACTACAAAGACCCCTGCAAGGCGGGTGAGCGACCCCCGGCTCCCCCAGGGGCGCACGGAAGCCGGGCGTGGGCAAGCCGGGATAGAGGCTGCGGGCCGGGCAGGGGTTGGGGTTGGGGTTGGAGTTGGGGTTGGGGGAGGACAGTCCAGTGTGGGAAGCTGGGAGCTGCTTGGTTGGCAATGCAGTGGGGGAACAAAAGACCGAGGGAGAAAGGGAGGGGGAAGTTTGGGGGACTTTTAGGACTGAAGTTTTGCTGCTGTTTGTGGAAACTGCTGCGGCTGCCGTTTGCTTTCGCAGAGGATTCCTGGGGAAACCTCCCTAGGTCCCAGCAAATCCCGCTGGCAAGGAGGCTTTTCCTCTACGGGGAAACTTTACTGGCCAAACTCTGTGAGTGGTGTGTGTGTGAGTGAGTGAGTGTGTGTGTGTGTGTGTGTGTGTGTGTGTCCCTTCTCCCCTATCCCTCCTGCTTTGTGGAATACTGGTGTTGGCTTGCTTGTCTGTTTGCCATAGTGCCGCACATCTGTCTGGTTTGATGCCCAGAAGGCCTGCAGCTCCAAAGGGATAGATTTCCCGGCTACTCAGCCCAGTGGAAGGAAAAAAGTTTTTCAGGAGGTTCTATGGAATACTCCTTCATAGGCAATCTTATGAATCTAGCCAGCAGCAGGAGCTCTCTGAGCATGCAAGAGAGAGCTGTCAAAGTCAGAGAAATCAGCGGCGTAGGGGTGGGGGGAGATGCAAGGAGAGTTACCTGTGTCTTTGTGTGCCAGGACAGCTCTGCCAGAGCCAAGTTGAGATAGCAAATGAGCCTCACAAAGAGAACTCAGATATTCTACATCAGCTTGCCCCACAGACACCTGAGGCTAATTAGTCAAGGTCAGGGCTTCGTGTGTGTGTGTGTGTGTGTGTGTGTGTGTGTGTGTGTGTGTGTGTG